AGGAACGTTCTTTTCCTACGGGGTTGCAAACAGCAGTATCTCATTCTCCATGGTATGGTAAACATCCGGTTCACCCTGGTGAACATCCGGTTCATCCTTGCGGAACATAGCCGAGGCCGGCGAAAACCCGGCCGTCCCGGGCACGGTACAGTAGGTCAATAGTCTAACGACTACGGCACCCATATGGTATATGAGTACACCCCCACCCCTACCTTCGCAGGGTCTTTCTATGAAGTAAACATGTTGGATACAGTGTACAGCATGCAATCGGGGAAGTTGGGTAAGGGATAGGGTCTGCGAACTCTATCTACCTCCCTCCCTGTTCTACTTCCTCGAAAAAACTCAATTTTCTCTCCAAGGCGGTACCACCGACATCTTAAAAACCCGCCTGCTGTATCCACCAGGCCGAGTACGTGCTGAGCATGCATACCCCCCCCCCCCCAACCCCCCCCAGGTGTTTGCCATCGGGGTTGGGTTTTCGTCGCTTGGCAACGACGTTGTATAACAAGCCAATTCACTTCGTGAACTCGGCAACCAGGTTACCGGTTTTTTTTTACCTCTGTTTTTTTTTTGGCGGTAACCATAATGGTGGTCGAGTAGATCATGTTGTGAGGGGTTGAGAAACCTCACTCCGCGCAAGGGGGATGATCGTACCACGTTGTGTTAAATTGGTCAAGCATCCTCGAGGCAGCTACACAGTGCTTACAACTGTCTCTGGAGCACCAGAAAATAAATTAAGTCATACGCGGCTGTCATCCGTACGCAAGGAAGTAAGCACAAGATGCCGAACACCCTTAGCAGGATGCAGCTCACCCTTCATGCGACTCGCCGAATACCTCAAGGTGCTTCGCGCTTGGTGATGTGAGAGCCTGGTCCGGTGAGAACCCGGCGTGCTACGTCCCGGCTTTGCAGGGATGCGAGGTCAATGGTCTAACGACTACGGCATGCACGACTATGAGTACACCCCCCCAAACCACCGACCTTAAAAATCGCCTGCTGAATCCACCACGCCGAGTACGTGCTGAGCTTGAAGCCTCGCTCAGGGTCGAACTTCTCCACCGCTCGCACAAGCCCGAGGGACCCTTCCTGGATGAGGTCCGTCAGGGGCACGCCCAGGTGCTGGTACTTCCTCGCGATCGAGATTACCATGCGCATGTTCGCCTCCACCATCGTCTTCTTGGCCGCTCCGCCCACCTTCAGGCTCTCCTGCACCGCCACAGCAGCAGCAGCAGCAGCAGCAGTGGATTTTGATGGTTGTATTTGGTGCATGTGAGATGTTGTGCCGACAGCTGTCCGTGCACCTCCCCCCCCCCCCCCCGTCCACCCAAGAACAGGGTCTATCTCTTAAGGGAAAGCCATGTGCGGAGCCCTCCCTCCCCCGGTAATCATTGTGGTGGTCGAGTAGATCATGTTGTGCGGGGTTGAGAAACCTCACTCCGCGCAAGGGGGATGATCGCACCACGTTGTGTTAAAATGGTCAAGCATCCTCGAGGCAGTTACACAGCAGTGCTTATAACTGTCTCTGGAAGTGAAAGCACCAGAAGATAAATTAAGTCATACGCAGCTGTACCATCGGTACGCAAGGACGTAAGCACAAGATGCCGAACATCCTTAGCAGGATGCAGCTCACCCTTCATGCGACTCGCAGAATACCTCACGACGCTTCGCGCTTGGTGATGTGAGAGGCTGTCCGGTGAGAACCCGGCGTGCTCTGTCCCGGCTTTGTAGGGATGCGAGGTCAATGGTCTAACGACTACGGCATGCACGACTATGAGTATCGCCTCCCCCCCCCCTCTGTAACGTCTACCACCCCCAGTCGCACACGAAAAAATCAGTCGTTCCAGGCGGACAATCCCAAACCAAGCTCTCGCCAGCTTCCAAAAAAAACACAAGGGAGCAAAAAAAACGTTTCATGACAGCAACAGTTTGACGCACATATGTACATTTCCCGTATCCCATAAAATCAAGCAACACACATATACACACACACGTACTCACGAGGTCCCAGGTCAAGGCCCTTAGAAGCACTTTGTGTTTCTCTTCAACCACACTGAGACTCACGTCATTTCATTGGTCTGCCGGTTAGCGCGGTCGATGCAACAAAAAAACGCATACACACACAAACACACACACACCCACACCCACCCACACACACACACACACACCTCGAGCTCGACCACCGTCATGCGGCGAGACTCCGCCCACTCCGAGAACGTCGGCGCCCGGCCCAGTCCGGCCGCGAGCTCCTGCCTCGCGCCGACGTGGCCCATGAGCGTCTGAATCTTCGTGCCCAGCTCATACTCTTCCGCCCTGGTCAGCAGCTTCGCCTGGCACAGCTCGGCACAGCTGTCGTGTATCGCCTGCGCGCGCCTATTTTTTGTCATATACCATGTATTTTGGGGGGCGGGGGGCGGGGAAGGGATTACAAGATTTTTTTCGCAAAAAACATCATCCGCGTGTGGGTGGGTGGGTTTCGAGCATGTTAGATAGAAGACGAAATCAAACTGCCTACTACCGTGGGTGAGCGCTGACTACTTAGTCTAACGGAGCTTCTAAAAAGGTTGCTCTTGTTGTGTCATGTGCTCGGTGGTTGTGCTGGCGGCGTTGGCGTTGGCCTTCGGGTCGTGTCGTGTCAGCGATGGTGATGGTTGTACTGCTGCAGACTTTTGGACCGCCTCTGCGCGATTAGCAGGTTCACGAGGGAATAGAACAGAGAGGGGGGACGCAGACCGTATGCCCTAACCCTGGCCCAACTTTCCAGATTGTATGCTGTATCCAACGTCTATACATGATACCAAAAAACCTGCCGAGGCTACTGAGACTACTGGTGGTGGTAAGGAAACCCCATTAGTCTTTGCAAAAGGGGCCGGTGTGGCAAGAAAATAGTACAGCCCGGACGGGGCGGTTTGGCGCCTGTGGGCGTCGGGGGGCAAGACGCAGAACAGAGAGGACACGGACGGTCGCAGGCCCCGACATTAGCAGTTAATAGTTAAAAGGTGAACATTGGTACGACACCCCCAGCACACCTTGGGGTTAAGGGTTAGGGGTACAATACAAGAAGATAACCTATGCAGGCTAAACGCCGCCGAAAGGCGTGGAACTGCTGGCGAGGCTGCTGTGTGCCAAGAACTCTCTCTGCAGAGGTGTGAAGCCAACCACGGGCACTAAGGGGCTACTTCGCCCACACGATCGTGTTCTCGTCCCAACGTGCATCATCACAGACAAAGCGCTATTAGCCCCCTACGCATGAAAGGGTTTAGTGTCAGGCCGGGGTACATGTAATGTGACAGACCGAGTTGCGGGAGTGGCGACGGTAAACGTCTCGTTTCTAAAAATAATCGCGCGGTTGTACACACATACATAGCCCTCGAGAGGCCGACCAAGGGAGCAACGGCTAGCGATGAAGCACCTGGTACCGCCGTATGCACAGCAGAATCCATACATATTTGTAGTGGTTGCACGAAAGGGCTCCGTCGGCAGGATCGATGACATCGAATATTCGTGCAAAAGAAAGGCACATGCTCATTATTTGGCGTCCCCTCTTGTTCATAAGAAGATTATTCAGCAGAATACTATGTAGAACTAGTTACGAATACGCTGCTTCGCTTTTTGCGAAGTCGTGCACGAACCCATTTCATCCAACAAAGATCCCTTTCGACTGAGGTTATATCTCCAACGGGTAGTCTTTCCGTGAGGTTATGTTTACTTTGTAAAAGATCGCCTGCGACATGTTAAAGCAGCTCCGCTCAACTGCTCGAGAATATTGTTTACTTCATTTCAACTCATGTCATTGTAAATGTGACACCGGATGCAGAGATTTGGCAGGCAGGCAGGCAGGCATCTACGTGGGAGTCGTAGAATTGCAAAGCGCCGCCACTGGTCTTCTGCCACGAGTAGCATCAACCACTCAGCTAGCTCCCGGTCTTGGGCATGGGTTGACTCATGTCTGCCAATGTATCAATCGTACGTAAAAGGCGAGTACATACCTCCAGAGGTGTGCTTTACCTATAATACTTGTACAACACGAACATGATGTGATTTCGTTTGCCCTACTTGTACACTGACTAAATATTAGTGAGTGTTTTCGAGAGGGAACGCACCACAGAGGTCTACGAGCTACCATCTATCAGCTGGGGGCAAGAACAACGCGCACTCAAAACGAGGCCGTCGACGGCCCGCACTGCTGCTACTGCTCTGTTGGTGGTGGTGCAGGCAGCAGCACAGCACAACATTCCATGCCCACAAAAAAAATGGACGGTTCCGTTCATGAAAAAAAGACACCCTCTCTCACTTGTTCGAGCTCCGGCGGTAGCCGTACTTGGGCTTGGGCTTCTTGGCGGGAACAGCCGCAGTCCTAGCCACCGCCCTCGGAGGGCCTGTGTCCTCCTCCTCCTCCTCCTCCTCCTCCTCCTCGTACTCTCTGGGTAGCGGTGCCGGTCGTTGCTTTGCGGGAACCACAGCAGGAGCCACCGCCAAGGTTGGCTCCTCCTTCAAGCGAAGGGCCCCCCTTCCTCCTCCCGCCGCCCCCCCCCAATAATCCGTGAGCCCTAAAATCGCGGTGTCGTTTCCCTGCTGCTGCTGCTGCTGCTGCTGCTGCTGCTGCTGCTGCTGCTGCAACCGCCGCCGCGGACGCTTTCCCTGTGCAGCCGCCGCCTCTGCCTCCGCTGCTTCCTGGCCGGCGATGATGCCCTCGAGGAACTGCCGAGCGTGCGGCGAGTTCACGCCCACGAGGGAAGGGGAAGGCACCATGATCGGCGGCGGACCCCGGTGCTGCTGCGAGTTGGTCGAGATGAGCTCACGGTGGGGGCGCTGCCGCGG